CGATCAACATGTTTTATCAACAGATGAGTGATATGATGATTCATTGGGAATTAAGACTAGTTCCCAGGATTATGTAAACCCGCTTTTTTTCCAAAGCACTGCATCCATTAGTTCTTCAAACCCTGATAAAGATCCAAGTCGCAGTTGCATCTGCGACAAGGACAATCAAGATAGACTCGTTCGCCCAGTTCTGTTTAGCAGTTGGTAAAGTAGAAGAATGGTAGAAAAAGTTGATGTTTCTCCCCTTAAGTGACTGCGTTGATATTTCAGCATCCACCATCTCTAGATGGAAATTTGCTCAATCTTCTTGGTCTCTTCCTGAGAGACCTCACACACACACACACACACACACACACACACACACACACACACACGCGCGCGCGCGCGCGAAAACCTCAACAAAAACCAATGAAGTTAAGGCTATTGCTACTTGTGGTTGTTTCAGTCAATCATCTTTATAGGATTTGATAACGGCTGCCTTTTGGTCATTGCACACGACCTTCTCATTTTACTTTCATTCCTTATCAAACTTTACAAAAGTAAGCTTAGCAATTGTGACAGGCAAGTCTTTCATAATTTTACTCCCCCAAAAACTTATTTTAAAAAAAAAACAACAACAAAAAAAACAACGAAAGTTTAATAAACATGGAAGTACTTGATCACGTGATTTTCGAGCATGTTCTAGAATATAAGGAATTTCGAAATAGATTTTTTCAGAACATCAGCATAAAAACAGTCAGAATTTTCGTAGTGGTCATTGCACTGCTGCACTTTCAAGGGGACATCTTCACTGGGCGAAAAGGTAAGTGAAATGTTACGATTTTTTTATTGCTTAGATGAAATTTCATACCCTATCATTATCATACTTTTTTGATGATCTTTTTCCATACCTACTGATCCTAATGGGTATGATATCCGTAAGTATACTGTGAATAGTACGAAACTCGCTTATTAAAGCATCCATAAGTCAGATCGTATCCGATAAGTATTTTTTTGTAGGTACAACTAGTCATTCTTCAAGCACCAACGCCAGATATGATTAATAAAAACGGATTAAATTATGCTCCACTTGAAATTATACCAGAGCCGGTCATCAACAACGATAAATATGATGTTATCCTGAGTATTTTGTTAAAGTATTTGTAAAATTTTTTTCACAAACCAAAGGTTTTTTTTAAGATAATATTTTAATATTGTCTTAACGCGTCAACATCTTGTTTTGGAATTTCTTTACCGGCGTTGATGTTTCTCTTGCAACAGCTTTAAAAAAATAAATTGAATCTCTCGACTTGCGACTAAATAAAAATGCGTACAAAACGACTAGTATCACATACAAAAAATACTTATCAGGTACGATCTGACGTACAGGGTATAAAATATTATATGGATGATTAAATACGCGAGTTTCGTACTATTGACAGTATACAGACGAATATTCTACCAATGAGGGTCAGTATGTATGAAAAAGATTATCAAAAATAAAAATATGATAATAATAGGGTATGACATTTCATCTAAGCAATAAACTAATATTTGTAAAATTTTACTTCACTTTTTCGCCCTGTGAAATTCTGGAAAATCCATTTGGAAATTCCTTATATTCTAGAAAATTACTGATTGAGTCCTATGGTAATTCCCTGTCTTCTGCCTGATCATAGAGCATTCTAGAAAATGACGTGATAAAGTACGATAGAATACCCTATCTTTTGCCCGATCATGGAACATTCCAGAAAATCCATTGGAAATTCTCTCAGTAGTAGTGAAAAGACTAGTTATAGCGCAGAGAGCTCCAAAATAATAATAATAATAATAAATTCCAAACAAGTGCAGTCGAATAAATTGTTATATCAGATATTCTCAAAGAATGATTTTATGTGTTTTAGTCACCAGTACGATAGTAATAATGAGGTGGTTGACTGTGACCGTTGTCGAATATATTGTCATATGTGATATTTCACAAAGATGTTATGTTTTAGTCACCATGAAAAGTGATCATGGGGTGTTGACGAGGTGGTCCATCTGTACTTGTTTATGGGTGCTTTAGGGGTCTCTGTGCCACAATCAGCTTTTGCCTACTACTTTATTATTATTATTATTATTATTATTATTATTATTATTATTATTATTATTATTATTATTATTATTATTATTATTGTTGTTGTTGATGATGATGATGATGATGATGATGATGATGATATTTGTAATAAATCTTTTTTCGCCATTATGGTTTATTTAACTTAAATATTGAGTTTTTGTTAAATGAATGTTGTATTTACAAAACTCCTGAGTAATTTAGTAGAATGTTTGATTCATTACTACCCTTTTGGGGGATGTGTTTTCAAATGTGTCTCAATAAATGTGCGTGTATAATGATTCGCCGAGAACTGCTTCGCACTAAAAGTGCTCATGAAAACGTAGATAACTATCATCTTTGGAAAAGTTAAGAAAAATTTCCTGGTTTTGTCTTGTTATGCGATGCACCCAACTCGCAACATTGCAGGCTCTTTCAATGTTAACAGTTAGTCGCTCTCGTCGGAAGAAATAAATATGTTCCAAATGTACAACTCTTGAGCGTAGTCTTGTTCAGCAAGATTCTTGTGTGACTTGTTTAAATCGTCACTGTGCGAGATTCTGGTACAAATGGAGTTTTTCTTGTAACGCTAGAACGAGATTTCCATACATTTTAAGTGATTTTATTGGCTAATGGAATATGGTGATGACTTAATCTTAGGAAATTACGGTGATACGTCTCATTTCACACAGGCTTTTGACGTTCGTCTAATGTAGCAAGAAAATGGAAGAATGTCAGCTTTGGGGGGAACACACACACACACACACACACACACACACACACACACACACACACATTACAAATTATATCTTGCCTTAAAGAATGAATGTTAATCATCCATCTGACAATGGCATGACTGTAAAGACTGTAGTTGCAATGTAATCCAGAAAAATCGTTGTAAATCCAACGTCACAAAAATTAGTGAGACTCCATTTTCAAAATCAATGTCGCTTTTCTGACACGAAATAGATACGCCTTCTTGCTACTGTCGATATGAAAATGGACACCTTACTGTATGGCTAATCTAAAAACACTACATTGCTCTTTGCTATATTGAAAGTTTTTTTCAAGTCAAGCCAGGTTCAATTGTATAAGAATAATAAGTGTTACTTGCCCATTTATGTATGTTTTAAGCTCATCGAAGAAATACTTAATTCCTTCAGTAATCTGTTGCCTCAATTGAAAGCCTTGAGAATAAACTGTTTGGCATACATTCTATAGTCACCGAGATCTTTTCTATTGCTGATTTTGTACACTGTCCGAGATAACATCAGCCAGGTTTTTTAGTGCACAGTATCAGATACCATATAAGCTCATTGTCGGAAAATAAGATCATGCTAAATGTGTTTTGGGCTCCGTATACATGATTATCTCTATCATTTCTGTACCTGTCATTACCGATTGGGCGATTGATTTATATGAAGTCGTATCGTATTGGAAACAGTTCTAGTTCTAGAATCCACCACATTTAAATTAAACCACTTTGGCGACTATAATGTTAAATCCGAAATCTTAAAAAAGAGCATATGTGTACAGTGACCAATGGTCTGTTATTATCTGAAAGTCAATAGGTGTTCTACATTAATTATTATTCACCCCAAACTGTATACCTGCGCCAGAGCTCAACATTATCTCAATTTTTTACTCATGATATCGTGTAAATCCTGTTTGACAAAAATTGATGAAGGAAATAGCAAATCTTCGTATGTTGTAAAAATGTTACAGTCATTTAACTAGAAAAGATCATAGTTTCCATATGATAGAACTGTCTTTTACCAGCATTCTTACCAATATGTTAACCTCTACATTTTTTGCATCTCTATTTACTTTAATGTCAAACCACACAAGCACACGCGCAGTTGCATGATTCCAACATGATGTTTAGTCTGAACATTGGTAATTAACTCGCTGATGTTTCTACTGCTTGCTAGGAGTTCTATATCGATTGTGCGTCGATGTCTGCACTATGTATGTTCTCAACAAAGCCAGGAAGACTTTCGCGCTCATAGATGTAGACCTATTTGGATATGATAACATTGGAGCCTTTCGTAGCCGAAAGCGAGAGTTTGCTGAGCATCAATAATGAAACATGTAAGCAACATGAACACTAACACTTAACACAATTATAATTAAACACACAACTTATATAAATACCATCTGGATTATCTTAACTAGGTACAATGCGAAAATCGTACAGCATTTATATCCATGAATTAGTTTAGTTTTATTCTGCTAGTTTATGTTTGTTCTTATAACTTATAGCTTTAGTTTTCAATTTATCTATTTACCTCCAAATGGTATATCCTATCCTCCCATGTCCTTTTTCAAGCGTGTTGGGAATTCCTCTAGTTTTAGTCTATTTCGACGTTAACTCTGACAATGGCGCTACATAACTCTGTCAATGGTAATGCATAAAGTGATTTTTAAAATATCTGTTTAAGGTTTAAATGAATTTGTTGCTATTTAAAACATTTGTTTCAGATCAATTAAATCCTATTTTAATCCTACTCACCTTATCTTTTTCATTGATGCTATATTACATCACATCGATACAATTAGAACTTTTCTCGATCAACATAATCGCTTGTATATGGTTTAAATTTCTCTACCTAGGCTGTAATTTGTTACAGAACTCTTTAACATCTTGAATCAACTTGATTATCTCATTTAAATCAGTTATTGTGTGATTTTCATTAATATAAATCGTGTTGTCATTCAGATTAATTTTGTTTTAACCTCACTGTCTTTTCGGGTATCACCTTTGAATCATTCTTTATGTGTAACTCTGACAGCTTTATTAGTGTTGGCTGTAAAGCTGTGTGCTAAAGTCAGTCGTGATATTTGTAATATTTTGATCGTATTTTGAATTTCTTTATTCAAGTCTGTATGTAACTGTTAAATCAGGGATTTTTCAGATCTATTTATCACTGCTCTGGTGGCCTAGTGGTTAGAGCGTCCGCCTCGGATGCGAGAGGTCGTAGTTTGATCCCCATACCAAAGACTACAAATATGGTACTAACAGCTGCCTCGCTTGACGCTCAGTATTAAGAGGTTAGTGTTAGGACTGGTCAGCCTGATGACAGGATAATGTGACTAGGTGGGACATCATGCTACATGTCCTCCGCATGATGCCACAGTGCTTGACATTACTATAAAGTGCCACACTACAGACATTGTAGTGATATGACTGAAACATTGTTAAAGCTACGTTAAAACTCTCTCTCTCTCTCTCTCTCTCTCTCTCTCTCTCTCTCTCTCTCTCTCTCTCTCTCTCTCTCTCTCTCTCTCTCTCTCTCTCTCTCTCTCTCTCTCTCTCTCTCTCTCTCTCTCTCTCTCTCTCTCTCTCTCTCTCTCTCTCTCTCTTATACACATACACACTTTCGATCTAATATAATTTTCTACATGTCACTTTCAAATGCATATATTTGACTGTTTATCTTCTATTCGATTGGTTGTAAATATTATCTAGCGTCAGATAAATATATGCATTTTCTGTTACACTTACTGATCGTGGGACTTGAATAGCCGAAGATAAAAAAAAAACATCAGCCCAATTTATGGTTTCCTTCTGAGTACAATACTTCCTTATTCTACACGGTAGAGTTTTGTTTAATCTTTGGACTTCTAATTACATCTTTGTATGAGTTGGTTAAAAAGCAGTCGATATTTTCTTTGTCCAGGCATTTCTTGACGCTTTTGCTGTTCCCCTTCTCTACCTGTTATCTTTTCAGGCGTTATCTCTTGAAACTTGTATATGAAAACGTTGTGGATGTCATGTTAATTTTTGTTTCTCAGAGCCCCTGCATACTTTGAAACGAACTTTATCACTGGCAAGATGTATTTGTATCCATCACTGTGTTTTATTAGTTTTTATATCAACATCTTTTAACTGCAACATTTATGTTGAACGAAATATATTCCTCGCTGCTTGTTACCTCCTGATTTCGATCAGTTCTCGCTAATTCTTTAATGAACAGATGTCTGAACAAGTTATAAAATAACAATAGTATGAATTTTAAATGTTTGACATTTTAGTTGCAGTCGTTTTGAGCAGAACATGCAATTGTCCTGTTAATTTAGACTAACTTACAGGGTGGAAGTGAAACACATTGCATAGTTTATCAATAATAATCTGTTCCCTGTCCTTATGCAATTAAGATTTCCCGAGTACTGTGTAAAGGTTGCCTCCACTGTGAGGTTTTGGTTGTGGGGGATTGGGGGTGGGGTGCTTCCAATATTTTATTTAAATTATTGTAGAAGTCTCATCCAGGCTCGATTTTGGTTGTAAGTTGATTTAGTGAAAGTTAAATGTACATCTTTGAGCCCCCACTATGCAGTGCCGACGGTTAAATGATTAGAGATACAAAAGGATGAAGTTCAATAATAACAATTTAATAACAGTTCAATGGTCAATAATTCGAATTTCCCATATACAGTTCTTCTGCTCGCCCCTTTGATTCCTAGTGTGAGAGATTTTCACCTGTTCTTATGTTCTACTAATCTGTTTATTCTTCTCTATATCCTAATTCACTCTCTTCTTCCCTGACTCCCTCCAAGTTCATCCTCCTCCTCTACTTTTCTCCTCCTCCACCTTTTATCCCTCTTCTCTATGTCGACTACACTTTGTCGGCTTTGACTGTACTGCCATTCTCACTTCCGTCTCCCTCATAGAGAATCGGGACTACTAATTTGCACCGAAAGTTCTATCCCCGAAAAGCTTCATGTGAAACCACAAGAATGGTACAATATTTTCCTCAGCGCTCACATCTAACACCACACACAACCTGTCATCAGATAATAGCTATAAAATTTCACCGGTAACGCATTCATTCACACCGAAATACGCATACATTCTTGTATGGTAAAACTCAACATAATAAACACATCATAATAAAAGCACGGTATCAATTACTCCTATACATACTATAATAAATTGATTCACATCAGTACATACTCATAATCCCATTACTGATAATATCACAATAATCATCTCTTACATTACAACTCATACAAAATATACAAATATTCAAATACTCATGTTCTGATATGTTCCTACATATATCGTAATTAATCTTACATATTTCAATCATTTTCGCAAACTCCAATTCACACATGCGTAAACTCAGAACATAACGCTTTACTAAATGCACTGGTTACTACGACGTAACCTATAGCAAATTACAATAATAATTCTGACGAGCTAACAATCTACATAATTCTCTACGTAAACTCAAATCCATGTCTCAAATGACGCATATACATGAAACACTACAGGGTAATTCTACATACTAAAACAATCCCCATAATTAAGTATACATACTACAAATAATTACAATGATGACGCTGTAATGTTTTGCAAAATGTGAGCAACTAACTTACTGACCTCTTCGAAGCTTTTCCTTCTCTTACAATTCTGATCCTACGATTTCCGCCAAATTACGAGTGGTCTTATAATATATCTTATAATTCCAATCTAAGTTTTAATCCCACCCGTTATCTTAATTCCGATTGGATGTCGCTATCGACTGATCCAATCAAATTTAGCGACAATGTCTTATCGCTGTCTGTCCACGTGGCGGACTTTCTTTGATCTCTGAACCAATGTTTAACGACTGGGTGTGAATACTACAAGCCTGGCAATTTGCATAAGAAATTGACACTGCCGGTGGCGATGTTTACAAATCAAACGCGGTAATAATACCCAAGTTTATACATTTTCTGATAACCTGGAATGGACAATCGTGACACATTGTTACATCATATGAAATATTTGACGGGTGTCAGAGAAACGCATTCCTTGGTGCATATTTTGTAAACCACGTTGGTCAACATTGGCGTCAAAAAATAAAGGTAACTTTTTTCCTGGCAAAGGTTACGGAGTGAGTTGTATAATTTATTTTTACGTTTAGGCAAAAGGTTTTGTTTAAAAAAAAGGAAAAACTAATGTATTTGCAAGGAAAATTTGTTCCATGGCTTTTTGTAAACCACTTTATAAAACGTGTCTGCAAGATACATTATGAAAACTTACATGTAAATACTCTCGAAAAATGCACTGATACCACAGTTAAACCTGCTTTAACAGGCGCCTTTTTATTCCTTAAACAATCATTTATCATCATTTTATCATGTCCCATAAATCAGTTTGAGAAAGTAACCCGAAACGAGCAGCCACCTTCCGTAAGAAATCAAATTATTCACTTCCTTGAGGTGGATGTTTAGACAGGTTTAGTACAGTCATACAATTTACTTAAGTATTTTTTTACCTTTAAAATCGAAAATCAGAGTTGATTATGTAATAAAATAAAGTTTATTCACTGACATTATTTTCGTCACTCTCTATCACAAAATTACAACAAAAAAAAACAACATAATAATGGAGGGAAATGTTTATGATTGTTTTAAGATGTAAAACAGAATAGTTAAACAGTGTATATTGCTTTCAGACGCAACACAATTGCAGCTAACTTCAGCCTGTGATCTGGGTAGTATGCAATTTGTGCCTCGATAAACAACTGGCTTGTATTTATGGTGAAATAAATTTGTGATACATACAAACCCATGATGGAGTGTGTCTAGCTATTTTATGTAAATGTTTGCTGTATAATCTATTACATCATTAGTTTTGCAGTAAATGACAAAACAAACTTTAAAGTTAATCTCCAATTCACTGAATGTGCCTGCTATTGGTCTGATAGATATCGTCTTGCTTTCTTTATAATATAGTCGTTTGGGGATTGATTAATTGTTCGGGTGTATAAGAAGGCCTTTATTGCAGACGTAATTTTGTCCATTTATTGTTTTGTTTGATCTGGAAGATAACAATCTAGAGTGATCAATATTGCCTATGTTGTGATAGCTTCTTTATACTTGTCCTTTGAAACCATTAGCATACCAGTCTGTTCTTTCATTATCGTCGTTTATATATATATATATATATATATATATATATATATATATATATATATATATATACATACATACATACATACATACATACATACATACATACATACATACATACATACATACATACATATATATACATACATACATACATACATACATACATACATACATATATATATATATATATATATATATATATATATATATATATATATATATATATATATATATATATATATATATATATATATATATATATATATATATATATATATATATATATATATATATATATATATATATATATATATATGTGTGTGTGTGTGTGTGTGTGTATCTCCTTATATTTTAATGGTCGCTATTTATTGGTAACGTTTTGGTGTTTTAATTTGACTCACCGGCGTAGAAGAAGCATTTATTGTTATGGTTTTGCAAGTTTATGCATATTTTTTTTTTGTTTGACGCTAATTGGGTAATTTGATTTATGACCCTGAGCCGTTCATCCTTTTGATGTTCTTATCAAAGCAGGTATTCCTGTCAAACATCCACGTCGTGGAATAGTGATCGTTTGTTCAAAGAGCAGAGTTCTTAAAAAAGAGCACTGAACACTGCATCTATTCCGAAATGAGTTGAATTTTTGTCTCTCCGTGCATCATTTTAAGTCAGTTGTTTAAACCTGACCATGAAAGTTGAATGATTAGGCCTACTGGATACAAGCGCTAGTGTTTGCTGGTGAAAATATATATTTTTTTAATGCAAGGTTCAGCTTGACTGAAGAACCAGCAGATCTCTCTCTCTCTCTCTCTCTCTCTCTCTCTCTCTCTCTCTCTCTCTCTCTCTCTCTCTCTCTCTCTCTCTCTCTCGTAATGTCTTCATCCTTGTGTTACTTCCCGCATCCTTCTAACCTTTTCACATTTCCTTTGCTTGATAGAATTTGTGTTTGTTGACCCACATTCATCATATGTTAAATATTATTTCAAAGTATTTGAGGTAAAATCTTTAAATATTTGTCTGCTGCAATTTCTGGCTGAATTTTTAACGTTTGCATATTCGGCATTTGATTTCCTAGAAGTTTTAACGTTTGCATATTCGGCATT